AATATTACAACAGAAACACTAATGAGGATTCATGAACAATCACAAAATTTGAAGAATCAACTTCAAAGAATCAAGCACTAGGACTCCATCTTATTAAAAAATATTTGCACATCAAAAGAAATCACTAACACAGTGAAAAGACAATGCAAAGTTTGGGCAAGGGATATCTTTCCATTTTCTGATAATCTCTTCAGTATCCTTTTACAAAATACTGTAATTTTCAACATGTAAGTCCTTGACTTTCTTTGTTAGGTTCATTCCAAGTATTTCATTTTCTTGGAGGGTATTGTTAAGGGTGTGATTTCTGTAACTTTTCTCTTAGTGAGTTTATTGTCTACTGGAATGCTCTTGATTTTTGATTGTCAACTTTGTCTCCAGCTATATTATTTAATTTGGTTAAGTCGAGAAGTCTTTTTGGTGGAGTCATTGACATCTTCTACATAGAATATTATGTCATCTGTGAATAATGATAGTTTACCTACTTTCTGTTATATGATTATTCTTATTTGTCTCTTATCTCTAATTGTTCTGCCTAATGTTTCCAGAGCTATATTGAATAAGAGTGGTGATGGTAATCATTCTTTTCTTGTTCTTAATTGTAGTGTGAAAGTTTTTAGTTTTTCACCATTTAATATGATGCTGGGTGTATTTTTGGCTTTGCTTGTTTTATCAGATTGAGGTAAAGGCTCTCTATTGTCACATACTGCAGGACTTTATTACAAATCAGTGCTTGATTTTATCAAAAGCTTATCATGCATTTATTGAGATGATCACCATGTGACTTTTGTTTTTGACTAAGTTGATATAACATTTAAATTTGTTGATTTGCATGTACTGAAACATCCCTGCCTTCCTGGGATGAATCCAAGTTGTCAGGTTTTAAAATCTTCTTGATGATTTGCTACATTCACTTTGCTAGTATCTTATTAAGGATTTTTGCAACTATGTTCACTAGGAAAACTTCCCTGTAGTTCTCTTTTTCTGGTTGTGTCTTTCTCTGGTATTAGTATCAGTGTAATGCTGGCCTCCAGGAAAGAGATAGCGAGAACTGCTTCTCTTTCAATTTCATTAAAGAGTAGGGGCCTTCAATATTCTATACATTTCTTATAAAATTCAGCAGTAATTTCCTGAAGACTTGGACTTCTATATGTTGGTCAGTTCCCTTTTTGTTGTCATTGTTTGCTTCATTTTAATGTATTTTGCAGAGGGTCTTATTAGGCACTGGAGTGGCCTTGAGCTCACATTGTAGCCCTGGTTAGTTTCAAACTCACAGCAATCCTTCTACCTCAGCCTCCCAAGTTCTGGGGTTACAGGCATGCACCACCTGGCCAGTACCCAATAAAATTTAATTAGATCTTCAGTCTTATTGACAGATACTGCATTATCTAGAATTTTTATATCTTCTTGAGTCAGCTTTGGCAATTCATATGAATCTAGGAATTGATTCATTTCTGTTATGCAACCTAGGGAAGCATGAGTTTTTGAAGTAGATACTGATGATCTTCTTAATTTTCACACAATCTGTAGTTATCTTATTGTTTTCATTATTCAATGAATTGTTTTGAGTGGTTCTTTTCTTCTTTTAATGTGGTTGGCTAAAGGTTTATCAATTTTATTTATTCTTTCAATGAACAAACTCTTTGATTCATTAAATCTTTTTATTATTTTTATGTTCTGCACTGCATTACTTTCTTCTCTGATCACTATAGTTGCCTCCATTTTATTGGCTTTGGGGTTTTCATGCCATTTTTTTCTGGAAGTGTGAGGTGCAACAGTATATCTTTATTTATGCTCTTTCTATGCCCTAAAGTGAAATTTGAGTACTATTAATTTTCCAATTTGAAGTGATTTCATTGAATCCCATGAGAACCAAGGTTTGCATCTATATTTTTGTTGTGCTGTAGATACTTTCAGGTTTCTTCCTTTATTTCATCTGTGACCTGTTGATTGTTTGGCAGAGTGTTACTTAATTTCCATATATTTATGAAGTTTTTGTACCTTCTTTTACAATTATTTCCCAATTGTATTGCACTATGGTCAGGTAAAATGCATGGGGTAAGTTCAGTTTCTTTGCATTTACTTCAGCATGGTCTGTGGACTAGTTTATATGGCATGTTTTAGAGAACCTCCTCTGCACAGCTGAGAAGAATGTTTATTCTGAATATGTTGGGTCACATACTTGGTAAACATCTATTCAGTTCATTTGTTCACAGATTCAGTTCTACTTTCTTATTTGTTTGCTGATTATTAGTCTAGTTCATCTATTTGTGATAGTGGGATATTGAAGTGTCTTGGGTCAATTGTGCTATTTTTTGTTTGCATTATTTTCAAGTCTTTTAACAATTGCCTTATATTGTTGGGTGCTCTTGTATTAGATGCACACATATTTATGATTGCTATCTTATCCTTTTAAAAACTTTCCATTAACATGTATGCAGTGAGGCTCTTTATCTTTTTGGTCATTCTTGGTTTGAAGTTCATATTGTCTGCAAAGAGAGTAGCTTCTCATGCTTTTTTTCTGGGCCTCTGTTGCATGGAAAATTGTTTTCTCATCCTTTGACTTTCAGTCTCTGAATTTCATTTTGAATTAAACATGTTTTTCTGTATACAGCATATTTTTGTATCTTGTTTCTTGATCCATTGTCGATGTCCGCTCCCCGCGGCTCCTTTTGTGCTTCAGTCTGCCCCAAAGCCTCTACCGGTCCGCTCTCTGCGGCTCCTTTTGGGCTTTTACTTCTGGGCTTCTACCTGGCTTCTTCTTCCGCCCAGGGGTGGCACCGGTATATATACGGGTACAGTGTCCAATCATGTTAAAGTAAGCAAGGCAAGCTGATTGGCTAACATCATCAGTTGCCAGGCAGACTATATTGTTGAGCGGGTTGTTTACGCGGTAAGCAGGAAACTAACATATTCGATGGGAGGGGTAATCTACCTCAGGCTTTGCTCTTTACCACAGGCCGCACGTCCGCCACGCAAGGCGAGCTATCACAGACGCGGCTCCCAACATCTCCCCCTATTTTATTTTTTTATGAATGTGCGCATCGTAGCCCTTCCTGGACTGGGTGCAGAGGCTTATGCCCTATGTGTAGGTCCACCGTAGGTCCTTGGCTTAGACCCTGGTTGGCCATGCCATGGTCTGCCAAGGCCCTGAGGCCCTCGTCCTTTTTCTAGGGCCAGGCACAAACTGGACGGAACCTGGATGCACACAAGCTTGCACTCATTTCCTCTCCGTAAAGAAATCCCCTCGGAGAGAAATTTAGACCTGGGCAGCATCTAACAGTCCAGCGGCTTACGTGCAGGATGGGGTAGGGCCTGGCTTAGGTCGAGTCGTGCTGGGGAGGCACGCTCTTACCCGTCATTGACTCACCTACCCTGCTGTGTATTGTCACCTTATGGAGGAGAATGAGGGATGCCCGCCATATCTAGACTCGGTCGTGGGCCAATTGAGCAAGCCATGCATATGCCTGAGGATCTTCTTGTCCATTTCGGGCTACCGCTATTTCTATTCATCTTATTGGTTGGTCTGTGATGGATCTCCAGTAGGGCAGGTCTGATCTTCAGTCGAGGGCTTTGTTGCCCGTGTCAGTCTCTCCGGTATCCACAGTGGTTCTCGTCCCGGTTCCTGTGGGAAAACACAAACCGCGCCTCGGTTCCAGCTGACCACTGGATCCGGGCCCATCCATTGTCCTGTCAGGACATCTTTCCACTTCACCCACCCTTTATGGTTGGGGGAAGGGTTGCAGTGCTCCACAGCTGGGGAGCGATTATCATTATTTAAATTTAAAAAATTGTGTGTGAATAGTGCCATGGATAATCGTGCCTTTGGGGCCAGGCCTTGGCTTACTCCCCCTTTTTGTTTTTTATTTTTTATTTTTATCTTTTTCGTTTTTTTTTTTTTTTTTTTTTTTTTTGGTACCAGGGATCGAACTGGCGATTGCCTGCTTACAAGGCAGGCGCTTATGCCGCTAAGCTAAATCCCCAGCCCTCATTTCCTCGACCGGCGTTTTTCTCAGCCTGCTCGGCAGAGAACTCTGTGTACCAGGCTCGCCAATCCAGGTAACTGCCCGAGGGCAGACACGTCTTTGCCAGCTGAATCCAGTCCGCGGGGGTGAGGGGCCCAGAAGACAGATTCTCCAGCATGGCAATGGTGTAAGGCGCAGTCGGCCCAAAGGTTGTAACTGCATTTTTAAGTTCTCTAATCTGCTTTATCTCAAAAGGCTCCCATACATTGCGTCCCTGACCCATAGCTACTTGTACAGGAAATATCCCGTAGGGGCCACTATCTATCCCAGGTGGATGTACCTCATGAGACAAGCGTCCCCCCTGCCAAAGCCGCCTGTAAAAATACCGACCCGCCGGCGGCAGAGCATAAGACAGCGGCCGTAATTGGGCGGAAAATGGGGGCCCGTGCATCACTTCCTGTTCTGGCGAAAGGGGAGAGAGCTCCCAGGCGGCCGCCTCGTGGCGAGGAATCGCCTCCGGAAACGGCCCCCAAGGTGGGGCGGAAGGCTTTGCCTCCCTCTCGCGCCGGGGAGCGCTCAGGAGCTCTCTACTCCTCCGCAGACCAGGTTGAGCAGAGCGCAATTCGCGGGGCAACGCTGGAAAAGAACCCTGCGACTCCTTATTGAGCGATTTAGGCTCCTGACAGCTGGTCTCTTTGGCCTCCTTGCCATTCAACTTTCCCTCGTCCTCGGAGTCAGACGACTCCGAGGCTAGAGCCCCGTCCTCCTCCTTAGCATCCTTGTTCCCCTTGACGGACCCCTCTCAGGAGCTCCCTGACTGGGCCTGCTCAGATACCCTGCGTACTTTTGTAAGCTCTTGAGAGCTTTCTCCACAACCACCCTCGCTCTTAGTGTTGCTACCTAACATGTTTCCCATCTTTTAATATGTTACTCACCGCGTGAGGCCCAAGGAATCCGCCACTTACGCGTGAGCCTGAGGGGAGTCTAAAAGCCCTGTAGGTGCGCGCCACCCAGAGCCCAGGCTTATCCCCAACTCACCTGTCTCGCAGCTCTGTACTGGAGCGTTGTCCACTTCCACGTCTCGGGGGTGATCAGTCCCCGGGCGGGCCTCCAAATGTCGATGTCCGCTCCCGGCCGGCAGGAAGGACACACGACAAAGTCTGGCAGTGGACAACCTTTTCTTTTTATTTTTCTTCTCCGTACAGCCTGCCCTGGGTTCTCCCAGCTGAAGCCTCCTCTGGTCCGCCCAGGGGTGGCACCGGTATATATACGGGTACAGTGTCCAATCATGTTAAAGTAAGCAAGGCAAGCTGATTGGCTAACATCATCAGTTGCCAGGCAGACTATATTGTTGAGCGGGTTGTTTACGCGGTAAGCAGGAAACTAACATATTCGATGGGAGGGGTAATCTACCTCAGGCTTTGCTCTTTACCACAGGCCGCACGTCCGCCGCGCAAGGCGAGCTATCACAGACGCGGCTCCCAACAATCCATTTCACCCATCTATTTCTTTTGGTTGATGAGGTGTGACCATTAACAATGATATGTATTGGTTTGTCTTTGTTGTAACATTGTTCTACTGTTGATTCTGTGCTTTTCTCCTCTGTTTAATTATTTGTCCTGCCTGGTTGTTTCTGTGTTTTTCTTGGAATTGTGGCCATTTTTACCTCTCTCTAGTATAACGTTCATTACTTTTTCTATGGTCAGTTTTGCAGTCATCTATTTCTTCAATTTTTCTTTGTCATGGAAGTATCATGTTTCCATTATTTTTGAAAGTTTTGCAGGATACAACAATCTGGATTGGATGTTCTTTCCTTTCAGGACTTGTACTTCTGTCCAACTTCAGGACTTGTTCTTTTGTTTCAACTACAGTTTTCTTCTTTACTTGGACATTTGTGTTGAGAAGACTGAGGTAGGTTCATGAAAAAAAATAAAGGAATCAAAGCATACAAATTGATAAATTTGGAATTTGATTAATAGAGTTCATGGCTGCTCATATAGATTACCTGCCAATTTCAGAGTCCAAACAAGTGGCTGAACTGGAGACTTACAAAGCTTTTAAACAGAGAATCACAAAGTGACATCCTATTGGAAACAATTGAGCTAGAATCTTACATTAATTTTTAGTTGACACCTGTATCATGTTTCTTTTGTTGAGCAGAGTAATTTTCCTCCAGGTGATGCAGCTAATTCTGCTTTTCTCACAGGACTTGTACTCTAAGTCATTTTCCATTCTCTTGGGTTAAATATAGGCCACCAGTTAAAAGCAGGGCTCAAGATGATGTCAGTTATGCCAAAATAGTTATGCCAATAACAAAGATGGCTAAGAATTTGATGTGTTTTCAATTATAAGTGATCTGTGACTTTTCCTTAACAGCATTTTATACTGTGATCTTGTGCTGTATTTCTAGAATCTTGAATATTATGTATCTTGATGTAGTTTTATTTTGGTTATGCCTATTTGGAGTTCGATATACTTCACTTATTTGTATGGCAAGTTCTTTAATCATGCTCGGGAAGTTTTATTCCATTATTTTGTGAAGTTTTTTATGGTATTTGTGTTGTCTCTGGCTTTCTCATTGACGCCAATAAATCTCATGCAATTCTTCTTTGATGAATTTTGTACCTGTTGAATTGATCTCTCATAGTCCCTTGCTACTTTTAAGATAGCATTGTTTTCATGACAACTAGCTACAATTTTGTCTTCAAGATCTGAAATTCTAAATCTAACTTTTGTTCAGTCTGTGCATATAATTTTAATCTCTTATAGCTTTTATATATCTTTCATATAGCATTGAACTTGTTGAACTCTTGTTTGGATCTCTTTCATGTATTCCATTTCTTCACTATGTTGGGCAACCATTGTTTGTCATTGTTTTCCTATGTTCATCTATTCTTTTATTTGTGTGTTCTCTAATATATTTGACTTAAAGTATGTTTTTGTATCTGAAAGATTTTCTCTGTAAAATTTTCCACTTTTTTTCAATTCTGGGTAATCAATGCAAACAATTTTGAGAACAGTCTCTAGTTGATGGTTTGCACTGTCATGCACCACATAGGATCTAATATGCATTCTGCATAATAAATAAACCATGTGCCTATCATCAGTGTAATCAACATACACTGCAAAGAAGTGTATATTGCATCAGGCAAGGGGTCCTTCAGGCAAATGCAGGCTCACGAACAAAGCATCACCTGTCCTCAAGTTAAGACCTCGGTAATGGAGTTTCTGGGACCAATTTTTCTATCATAGGAACATGCAAATTAATACTTTGCTGTATATACAACCTAACAGAGACACATGGAGATCTCACTGTGTACTGACTGCCCCAGATCCCCAGAAGCAGCCCACTCTTTTGAAGACAAGTGAATCCACACCACCAATATCTGGTGATGACTGTGTCATGGAACAAAAAGCAAAAATGAAAAGCAGGCAAATCTTCTGGAGAGCCCTCAGTCTGGCACCAAAGTCCTGCCTTTGTAGCTCTGTTCAGACCGCTGATTCTAGCAAAATGTTCAAAACTGCTGTCTCCTCTCTGACCACAGGCTACAGGCTCAGAAGTGGATGTAACAGTGACAGCTGAAGGTGCCCTCTGCCCTCTGTAGCTGCTGTCTTGGAGGACAAAGACACTTGCCCTCCTCCACCGTCCTCCCTGCCTCTCCCACCCAGCTTTGAAGGCTGAGCTTCTACCAGACAGTCTGGGTGGAGATGCTTAGCGGGCCTTGAACATGTATTTATCTGGCACACAGCTTCTGAGTAACTTATCACAGGAAGGAAAGTTATAGTAAAAGGTGACATCTGAGTGTCAGGAATCTTGCTCTGTACATCATGACTGCAGCAACAATGTGGTGGGGATCAAAACACATAGGGTTCTTGCCACAATCCACAGCTTTTCACAACACAGAAGCCCTATTGCTGGTGGCACAGGTGCTTGCCTCACACCAGCACACTGGCCTACAACCTCACTGTGCAGCTGGACTTGGGAAATCAATGCTGCTGTGATTCAGGTGAGAACACAATGGAAGCCTGGCAACTAGGCAACCAAAACAAAAGAAGAATTGATGGTGGCCATAACCTGAGGCTGGTCACTGAGACAACATCACATTGTACACAAGTGAGCCTTCTGCCTGTCTCCTGTCCAGGTGCTATCTAGCTCCTGAGGGGCCCAGAGACATGCTAGTGTGGCTGACCCCACTGCCCCACCTTATAATACCTTCCATTGCTCTTAGGACAGGACCAAAATGCATGAGCCCAGGGGGCAGGAATTTGCATGCAGACACATTTGGGCTGGGGCATACTTATTTGCCTTTATTCAAAAGTGTTGTACAGATCTGAGGGCCCTGCTTCATGGTCTGGTGCACCCAGCCTTTGTTCCCTGAGCAGATACAATTCTGCCCATATCATATGAGCCATTTCAAAGATACTGTATCTACCTGGATTCTGCCAGACAGGAGCACCTGCATTTGTCTTCCCACATATCCAGGAACACATGCACCACACAGGGACCCAAACCTTAGGTCAGGTCCTGGGTTGCTCCACAATCAGATTGATCTTGATCCCCCAGTTCTGACCACCATGTCCTGAGGAGAACTCTAGAGCTTAGAGCCAAGAATAGAATTCCTGGTAGCCTCAGGCCCTCATTGTGAATCAAGGACAACACATTTTTGTTCTAATTTGTTGTGGGTGACAACAAATTAGCCATACCTGTGGGTACTGGAGTCTCTCTTCTGGGGGAGTGCAGAGCAGCTCCCAGTCCAGCCAGGGCTAGCACAAGCCCAGATGTGTGCTCTTGAGAGGAGAAGGGTGTATAAGAGGAGGGTGGAGGGATACCTGGGGAAAGAGAGAATGGAAGCTGGAAGAAGAAGTCTAAGAAAATTCCCTGAGCTGCACAATGGCTGGCACTTTATTTTGTCACCCATCATACCTTTTGGCTGATAGCACCAAACTGCACCAGCTATATTTTGGGCAGCTACACATGCAGTGTCTCCTCTTGTGGCTCCACCGAAAGTTTCAGAGAAGACTGGGGTGGACCAGGAAGGACCTGGGTAGAAAAAGTCAAGCAGTCACACAATCTGTGTTGTGCAAATTCACTGCCAGACAGAGCCAATGTCCACTGCCACACTGACCCAGAAATAGCAGGCCAGGAACTCCCTTGTTCAATGCAAAGGGCTATCCCGATGCCCTCACAGGCAGTGGGGTCCACACATCAGCGAAGGGCTGCCCACCTCTGTGGTTTCCACAGCATCTGCTCCTGCCCTTGTTTTGTGCCCTCCCTTGTGGTGCTCAGCTCCCACATGGTGCCACACCGAGGGGCCTGGATTTTTCCAGGCTACCTGGCACTGATCCTGTGATTCAGCTTGCTGTGCACAATACCAGTTCAAGTGACTCCCCTCAGGCTCAGGGAGTAAGGGAGGCCACACTCCCAGTTATATTGCTGCCATGAGTGAAAGTGGGCCAAGGGATGCTACTGCCCTGGACTTTCAGCATGGGAATGATGCCCATCAGAAGGTGGTCAGAGCAGCAAGCAGGGGAATGGCACATCTGCTGCTTGGAGAACCATGTTCCAGTCCAGGTCAGGACAGCTGAGACCCTCAGTAACCTGTGCGGCACAGGGGCAGGATGGAAGTGAGGCAAATGTCATCACAGGGCTTAGGAAATGATGCATGGGAAGAAGAATGAAACTCAGTCCACTCTCAAAAGGTGTACTCACCAGGGATTTGGGCTTTAGTTAGTCATCAATGCCATGGATCAGGGCACAAGGTGTTTGGGTTTGCTCACTGTGTCTGAGGTATGACAGTCCTTGCAGGCATTGGTAACAATGACCAAAGAGGATGAAGTTGCCTCAATGGACAATTCTGTCAAGAACAACCTCCAACCCTCCCAGTTTAGTGGTGGCCCAGGAAGAGACATTCCTAAAGCAGTTAGGGGATAGGGTTAAGCATTGTTTGGGAAGGTGAGGGTTAAGGAAAATACTACTAGTAATCACAAACACCCCTTTAAGTTGTTTACTTATTTCAGATGACATCCTCAAGATAATGAGAACCACAGAGGTCATTGCTTTAGGCTGAGGACTTCGCTCAGCAGCTTCAGCATTTAGAAAATGCAACGTTGTGAGTTTGATCCATGCTACTGAAAAAACCAAAACAAAAATGAGAAACTACTTTAAACCAACAAAAAGAGCACACACACACACTCACACACACACACGCACACACACAGGCAC